GTACCTTACCATAGGGAGCTCCATTACTGTTCTTAAAGAAAAAGGATGGTATGACGAGATTGGGTATTGATTATCAGGAATTGAATAAGGTCACCATCAAGAATTGGTACCCTCTACCGCAGATCGATGACTTGTTCGATCAACTTCTAGGCACTTAAGTATTCTCAAAGATTGACTTGCATTCTGGCTATCATAAACTAAAATTCAAAATAGAAAGCATTAAAAAGATTGCCTTCAGAACACGTTACGGGCACTACAAGTTCCTCATCATGCCATTTGGTGTCACAAATGCTCCAGCAGCCTTTATGGACCTTGTGAATTGGGTATTCAAACCCTATCTTGACAAGTTTGTCGTTGTCTTTATTGATGACATTCTTATATACTCTAAATCACCAGAAGATCATGAATAGCACTTGCGAAGAGTTCTACAGACACTACATGATCACAAACTTCATGCCAAGTTGAAGAAATGCGAGTTCTGGATCACTAGTGTATAATTTCTCGGTCACGTCAAAACCAAAGATGGCATCTCAGTCGACCCACAAAAGGTTGCAGCAATTATAGATTGGCCACGACTCACTAATGTGACTAAAGTTTGGAGCTTTTTGGGATTGGCAGGTTATTATCGACGCTTTATTCAAGGCTTCTTGAAGCTTATGTCACCCTTGACCCGACTAACCTAGAAAAAACATCGTTCGAATAGACTGACGAACAGGAAGGTTGCTTCCAAGAGTTAAAAAATAGACTTGTGTCAGCCTCTATACTAGCACTCCCTACGGGAATTGATGGGTTTGTTATTTATATCAATGCCTCACACAATGGGTTGGGTTGTGTCCTTATGCAAGATGGAAAAGTCATTGCATATTCCTCAAGTTAACTAAAGACTCACGAGAAGAACTACCTAACCCACGATCTAGAATTGGCTGCGGTGATCTTCGCCCTCAAGATCTGGCGTCATTATCTTTACGAAGTAACCTGCAAAATTTATACAGATCATAAGAGTCTTAAATATCTATTTATACAGAGAGAAGCGACTATGAGGCAATAACGATGGCTAGAATTTATGAAAGACTACATTGTAGAGATCCATCACCATCCAGGCAAAGCTAACGTAGTAGCAGACGCATTAAGTTGAAAGACCACCAGAAGCTTGGCATGTACCATCGTTCCCCATAAGATTAATGGATTGCTTGCCAACATAATCGTGGAACCCACTTTGATTGAAGAAATTAAAGTGTGCCAGTGTGAAAATAAACCTTTAAAGAAAAAATAAGATGAGCAAGGAAGTACGCCCAAGCCTGATTTCATTATAAGCAATGGGATGCTAAAATTTCAAAATCGAATTTTCGTACCCGACATTCCAATGCTCAAGAAAAAGGTATTGGTGGAAGCTCATAGCTCGAGGTTTGTAGTCCATCCTGGCAATACGAAGATGTATCACGATATGAAGGAGCACTACTGGTGGACAAGAATGAAAAAGGACATAGCGAGCCATGTTTCTAAATGCTTGCAATGTCAACAAGTTAAGGCATAACATCAGAAACCATCAGGATTACTACAACCACTCCTTATTCCTAAATGGAAATGGGAACACATTACTATGGACTTTGTTATCGGACTACCACACCGGCCTCGAAGAACGATGTAATATGGGTTATAGTCGATCGATTGATAAAGTCGATGCATTTTCTACCAGTTAGAGTCACATACTCTCTCAATAAGTTTGCCACTTTATACATCAAGGAAATCATTCGATTGCACGATACCCCAGTTTCAATCGTGTTTGATCGGGACCCTCGATTCTTGTCTCACTTCTGGAACAAATCACTACAACAAAAATGGCCTTTGGTGATAGACTGATTTTGTTTCCAAATATCAAATTTTTGTCACCAAAGTGATCTGTGACGAAAAATCTTTGTCACCATGTTCGTCGTCTATTTGTCGTCACAGAAAGTACCTAGTGACGAAAAATTATTTCGTCACCTATTCTTCATTTCTAGAGATGAAAAGTTTTGTCTCTAAATGTTAAATTTTTCGTCCTCTATAACACCCATTTCGTCACTATAATTAAATAATATTTTATTTTTAATTGTTTTGGTGATGAAATATTTCATCGCAAAATATTAAGATAGAGGTTTTAGTGACAAAATTTATCCTTACCAATGATATAGATTAAGGCCAAAACTAAAAAAAACGAAAAAATCGTCACTAAAATGAGTACAAAACAAAATTCTTCAATGACAAAAACAATTTTGTCGCCGAATATTTCAAGTTGGTGACGAAATATTCAGCAAATGTGACGAAATTATTTTTTGGAACTATATCATTAGTGACAAAATTATTCGTCAAGAAAAGTTGTTTGAAAACTAATAACGACGGTTTTTTATTTCGTCGCTAATAATAATTAACATTTTCAAAAATGGGGGTAATATTTTCAATTTTCAATTTTTAATTTTTTTTTCCTCCAAAAATTCCCTGCACATTTTAATAACATCTTTAATAAATATCTATTACAGATCAATACAAAAACTTGTTCATGTTCATAAATACCACAGTTGAAATATGTCTCATAATATCTACAAAAATATAATATCAATTGCGGATAACAAAACACGTCTCCTAATATCCACAGAAAACACGTCTCCTAATATCCACAAAAATATAATATCAAGTGCAGTGTCACGACCCAAACCCGCCCCTATGGGTTTAGCACCATAACCGGCCAGTAATCCGAGATTACCGATGGCCTGCTTAACAGTAATACAGAGTACAGGGGCTGGCGGAAGCCAATACAGTAAATAAACAATGTCCAATGAGCTGTGAGGATCTAAATGCAAAAAGACTTTTCATTCAAATATATATACAGTCAGACAAAACAGTATGTACATATATACAATCATTCAGTCGGGGACCTAATCCCTATTAAACAATATAGTAACAGTCTATACAGTTATGCAAAACAGATACAGAGACAGACGGGGAAATTAAAAACACCCCTAAGCCGTAACTCGACAGGCTCAGAACCTCGCAGTGAGGCACATAGGTTGGCTCGACAAAACGGGAGTTTACCCCGACGCTCCTAGCTGCAGTCTGGTGCCTGTACACCTACATATATATATGAGCAGTGAGCTAAAGCCCAGTGAATAACACAATGCGTAAAGGGGTTAAGAATGAATGTCCTTACAATAATGAAAACAGTTCATTAAATCAGTATTTCAGTCGTTCAGTCAGTACAGTCATATGTGGTACATCCATTAGCATAACAGTACAGTAAACAGTAGGTCTTAAAAGACCGAACAGTAAATGATGGCCATCAATCAGTAAACAGTAGTGGTTCCAACAAGGGAACCGACAGAGATCTCTGTAACAGTAACAGTCAGTAATAGTAGTTGCTAAGGATGCCACAATACAGTTCAGAATAGAGGACATACATTCATTCAATTAACAGTATCAGTTCAGAAAGCAGTACAGTTCAATTGTTCAGAAAATAATCATTTTGAACATATCTTTACACAGTTGTTACTCACAGAGTTCTGGGCTACAGTAAAGCTAGAGCGCGTCCCCAGTCGCCAACCCTACACAGTTTATAGATGGAACACACACTAAGCTACACAGTTGAGAAAGATAATAACCTAATCCCTAATTTGCCTTGGTGTGTCCTACATCTATATCCTCATTAAGATGCCTTAAACTAGGCCTAAGAATGCCTAGGATGAGATGAGGATGCAAAGATGCACTTTTAAAAGCATTTCTAGACTTCTCAGAAAACAGGGGTCACGCTCGAGCGTAAGTTACTCCGCTCGAGCGGATATGCAGACAAAGGTTTCCGCTCGAGCGTATACTTACCCGCTCGAGCGTTCTGCAAAACAGTCAAAAGTGCTGGATAGGCGAAAATCACGCTCGATTGGGCGCTCGACACCCGTTCGAGCATAAGACACAATGTCCCGCTCGAGCGTCAATTATTCCGCTCGAGCGGACTTCAAAACAGAACAAAATGCTGGGAGCACGATTTCCACGCTCGAGCGCCAGTCACCCCGCTCGAGCGTGAGTCCAAATTCTGAAAATTCCAGATTTGCACCTCAAGCTCAAAACCAAGTTTTAAACCATAAATTTCGATCCTCTTGGGCCAATTTTCCAGAAAACACATCAAAACTCATACTTTAACATGATTCAAAGCTCAATTTGTAAAATCGAAATCCAAGGGTGTTTCAAATAAATCCAATTTGAAACCAATTTTCATGAATATGAAGAACATGCAAACATGCATGAATTTAAACACTTCAAAGCTTTAATTACAAGCTTAAATGAGCTAACTCTTACAAAAACATGATGGAAACATGGACTTAACATAACCATGAGCATGCATGTGACAATTCTCCATGGAATCAACTCAAAATTCAATAGTATAGGCATGCATGCATGAATTAAGCTAAAATTCAACCATTAACAGCCATAACTTGGCTCTAGACTTCAATTTGCTCAAAACCATGCAAGAATCAATTCAAAGCATACACAAGAGGCAATGAATCTACCTTAGGTCTAGTAGTTCAAGATGTACAAGCTCAATTTTGCAAAGAACTCCTCAATTTACTTCAATCCTCTTAATTTCCAAGCAAGACCAAGCAAAATGAGATGAAACCCAACTCTCTCCCTTATCTCCCTCTCTCTAGTCGGCAAAGGCAAGGAATGAGCTGAGCAAAAGTGTGCCTAGGTGTATACTAAGACTCAAATGTTGATCATGAAGTGGGCCACTCATGTGGCAAAATGGTAAATAAGGCCAACTATGCAATTAAGCTCATTTTAATCTAATTTAATCATACCTAATCAGTTTTCAGGTAATTACACCATAAAATCACAAAAATTACGATGATCATAAAACACTAATCGGTTTCCGGTTCGGTCGCCGATAAGGCCTTCAATTAACAATTTAAACACAAAGACACGAACAGATAATCAAATAACCAAACAGATAGAATTACGATTAAACAGATATACTCAGTCATTTCAGTTTCAAATTTCAGTCAGTCAGTTCAGTATTTTATTCAGTTCAATTATCAGTCATAATCAGTTTTAGTTTAACGGTAATCGGTGGTTACTCGGTAAACAGTGACGAGGGTTGTTACATGCAGATCACCAAACATGTCTCCATATACAAAAATATAAACTTTACAATGCAACCAAAATACATGTAAGGTAATATTAACAAAAATACGAAATGAGCAAGCTCTTGCTCTCCAGATTACCAAACATGTCCATCTCTAATCTCCAATCTGCAACAAAACAAAACAAAATGAAACGAAAAAAAGAGGACAACAATTACTATCTTATCAATAAAATATACAATTTAACATTTTTCCAAAAGTGCATTTTTCGACTTAGTTTTTAAGCCGGGAATCCCGTGCTAGTTCCATAGGTTTCCACAACTTATATTGGTCCCTCTCGAAGTGTTCGAGGTGTTTCTTGGGCCTTCTCGTGGTTGTTTCATGATTTTGGCCCCCAATGGCCTATTTTCAAACCTAAGTGTTGAAAAAAGTGCATTTTTCGACTTAGTTTTCAAACCGGGAGTCCCATGCTAGTTTCGTAAGTTTCCACAACTTACATTGGTCCCTCTCGAGGTGTTTGATGTGTTCTCTAGGCCTTCTCGTGGTTATTTTACGATTTTGGCTCCCTGATGGCCTATTCTCAAGCCCAAGTGTTAAAAAAGTGTATTTTTCTACTTAGTTTTCAAATCGGGAGTCTCGTGCTAGTTTTGTAAGTTTCCATAACTTATAACTATAAGTTTGGAATACAATGGTAAATTTTCGGAAGTCTCGTACTTGTTCTATAAGTTTTCACAATTTACATTGGTTCCTCTAGAGGTGTTCATGATGTTGCCTGAGCCTTTTCATGTCTATTTGAAGCTTCCCCCCCCCCTCTCCAAGACTTATTTTCATGCCTAAACATTGGAATAGTGCAAATTTCAAAGTAGTTTTCAAACCGAGAGCCACGTGCTTGTTTTGTAAGTTTGCACAACTTATGTTGCTCCGTCTCAAGGTGTTTGTAATGTTTCCAGGACCTTTACATGCATATTTCACTATTTTCCTGGGACCTTTCATGCCTAAATGTCAAAGTAGTTTTTTATTCTACCCTAGTTGAAGAAGAAAGTTTATACTAAATTAACATAGAAACATAATATACTAACCAAGAAGCTTGTCCATCAGAATCTGAACTTTCTCCACTCTCGAAATTTCCCATGGTACCTTTCTGCCTTCAACACTATGATACTTTGTATCTTCTTGCTTTGTTTTTTCTCTGACTTTTGAAACCTTATAATTTGTTCAATTTGTTCAGAATGTAAACTAGATTAAGCAAAATATGAATTGATGTATGTGACATTACTGACATAGGAGACCAACCCAAAAATAAATTGAAAAAGTTAACATCCAGCACTATTAGATACCTAAGAGTATGTTGATGACACTTATAATGAGTTTTGTGAAAGTTCGGGGAGAACCTTGATGGTTAAGGTTCCCTTTCATTTCAAGCAAATGACTCTGCACAAAAATAATTGCTAAAAGTAAAACAAATGATAATGCAAAAATTAACTGCAAGTTTACTTAACCATGACTTAATCTCTATATGTGTGTGTGTGTTTTCTTTCTTTCTTATTTTTTTTTATTATTATTTTTTTTTTGTGTTAGGGGGCCACTGGGGAAAGCATATTCAGCTTACCTGATTCTCCACATAATTTTCAAACATTTTAAAAGTAGCACCAAACTTTCTAGATCTCCATTGTCATTTGACTTTTGCATTGAAAACGAACTTTGTTCTAACCAACTCTGCAAAACCAGTCAACAACCAAAAAGTATAAATTCCATCTAATAAAGCCAGCATCAGAATCATGGTGTATTTGTTTGTTAGTAGATTCATGCACAATCATGGAAAACATATATCAGAAACAAGATTCAACTATGGATAAGACTATGGCTCATAAAGGATACATAGCTAACTCTTTTCATAAGTTATTGAAGAATGAACTTCTGGATACCAAAACAACAAATATTTGTGTGAGAGTAAACAAATAATTTAGCAATCATACGCCTTAAGCACATGATGCAGGTTTACACGCAATTATACAGTGACACTAGCACCAACTTGGTGAGTTCTGTAAATTATAACTAAAATGAATCGGTACACTATGACATCATATCCAGATAATACAAAACCTGCACCAAATCTCACCACACAATGAATGCCTAAGTCACTCAACCCACAAATATGCCTCACACTTATCAAGAAAAGTAGGTACTTGGGGAATCTACACACAATTTTGGTCTTACTATACTCAATCCACTTTTACGAACCACATAACACTCAAACCCACAATACTCCCTCTTGTACCTGCAATAGAAGATACACATAGATAGGCAAAAGATAAAATTAGTATAAACCCACAGATATATGGTCTTACACCACTCAATCCACATTTTAGTAATCCTCACAATCCTCAAATCCAACTACACCTGAACAAACCAATTCATTTTATATTATTTCTTCATGGATGGCTGTAAGTGTTGAATTTAGCCATCCTTTTTACCCTTTAAATGTTTTTCTTTATCAAATTCTTACTAATGGAGTTCCTAAATTGATGAATTTACACATTTTCAATCAAGGAACATAATTTTCTTTTGTTTCCAAGGATATGGCCAAAACATTTTCATTTCCTAAGAGACTAAAACAGAACATTAGTGGAATAATGAAGTTCTGTACAAATGAAAATTGTGTGGGGCATGGAAAGAAGAAAAATCTAGAATTTCACATGGAGTACACTTTGAATGCTTTATTAACTTGTTTAGCTTTATTCACATTAGCCTTATTCACATTAGACTAAAACAGAACATTAGCCTTATTTTAACTTGTTTAGCCTTATTCACATGGAGTACATTTGAATGCTTTACCATACTTGTTTAGCCTTATTAACTTGTTTAACCTTATTTGAATGCTTTATTAACTTGTTGCTAGAATGTCATTAAATTGGTTAGAGAAGGCATAGCAGGCCCTAAAAATGCTTCAACCTATGGTGACAAACTCATAATACTGTAGTACCTCAGAATCTAGATTATCCTTTCTAACGCTGCATTTGTTTTGGTGGAGAACATTTTCTATAGAAAACTTTTTTCAAAAAATGTTTTTCGAAGAAATTTTTTTCTTTGTTTGGTGGTGGTGGTGGTGGTAATGGAATGAAGGTAGAGGTGGGCATGGTGGCTTGGTAGTGTATAAATCTCACAGCTCACTCTCTCAACAACAGGCTCACTCAATATATGCTCACCACCACTCAACCCTCAAACAAAATAGACAACGTCAATGCTTGAGAATTGTTCTAGGAAGTCTCCAGGAGCTAAGAAACCACTCATCATTATTGGATTTTGTCACATATGATAGAGCCATAGCTCTAAATCTGATTTTCTTCTTTATATAATCTGGTTCCTATATCTGGCCATCAACCAAGTGTGGTAAGTGTTTTTCCCTATATAGTCTTGGTTGATCTACTTTATTTACTCACTGGTGGCTATTTTCTTCTCATGTTTATCATGTTTATTGGTTGGTCTGGGCTTGGGCCGGGGCAATAGACAGCATCAAACCACAAAGCTGTTGTAAAAAGAAATCATAGTAGCAAAGCTGCTACAGAGGTGAAAGAACACAACAATGAGCATGGCTGGAGCCACAGTCAGCATAACAGTAGGGCAACAACAACAAATTAATTCATAGCATCCACAAGGCCATGCTTTTTAACTCACCAAAGTTACACTAGCCACCTATGATCAATAGTCTTTCATCAGATTTTTAAAGAAACCTTTGGCCCACAACCCTAATTGCTTTCATGTGGATAGAGTGTTTATCACACAAAAGTTGATTTTACATTGCACAAACAGAGAATGGCTCACAAGAATGACAGACTAATAATGTAAGCTTACTTGAACATAGGTCATGCATCCAACAGTGTAGTTAATAGTATACCACTATACGCTCTATACTCCTTGCAAATAATTTCGAAGGCAATGTCGTTACTTGCTATTCCAAATCTCAATTTAGTGCACAAAAATCCTTTTCCTTGTAAATAGAACATAAGAGTGGCTTCAGACAATAGAATATACTATCTATACATGAATGGAAAACAAGTTTAACTTCAAATTCTTTTGAAAAAAAGTTCAAGCTTAATGCATACATCAATAATTAGGAAAGCTTAAATTTAATACGTTGAAACATGTGCATTTTCTTCTCCCTCTAAATGATTCCCTTAGAAACAAATGCAACTGAAAGCGAATTACCTCGTCTAAAAATTAAATAACTATATTCTATAATCAGCTCAGCTTGTTAAGGCATAATTTTTTGCTACATAAATCTTTCCATTCAACTACTTGTTTATATAATTATATATATACACACATATATAAGCATGAAAGCAAGCACAAAAATCTATCAAGATCATTTAATTAGCTCCCTGATATGATTAAGTCTTCACACTTCAAAACAATTTCACAGGAAAATTTAAATTTTTAGGCTTATTTTTTTTTGATATTTATTTATGGGTAAAGTGAATTATTATAAGCCAACAAAACCAGAGTACATCTATTCCTCAGGCATACCAATTTTTAGGCTTCTTAACATGAAAATTGAGATTAAAACTCTGTTTACTAGTACTAAATGCATGTGTTACACTCAAACCCATAAAGAAATATATCTTCTACCTTTCAACTATCCCTCCATTAATGTAATCACCAAAGCTTTAGGTAGAACTTAATCATCATGCGTAAAAGAAACAACCAAGATAACCTCATTTAGAAATTTTCCCCAAACAAGCTTAAGTGGTTTATCAGATTGTACAACTTAACCCTGATGAAGTACGGGTACGGGTACAAGTACTGGTACTAGTACGATATGGGTACATCGATATGGTAAAATTCAAAAAAAGTATCCAAAAAAAGTAGAGTACGGGTACAGCTTGGTACGCTTGTAAAAAAATATTTATTTTTAATTTAGAGTGATGTAAAAATTAATTAAATGGTTTAATTTGCTAAGATCCAACCTATAATTAATATTTAATGCCAATAGTAAAGGTATAAATCAAAATTAAATGTCAATAAATTGACGAACACTATGGTTGTGTGCGACGGTGAGATGAGGGCGGTGGCGATTGATTCTGTGTGTGTATGTGTGTGAAAGAGAGAGAGAGAGAGAGAGAGAGAGGAAAAACCGTGCAAAGACGAGATTTGGGCAAAAAAATTGGGCGCCAATATGAAATATTTCCCACTAAAATTTTATACAGATTTGGCGACTAAGCCTAGTTTGGCAATCATTTTGGGGCTAAAAAAAGTACAAATTATAAAATAAGTTAATAAGCTAAAATATCACATTCAATTCATAATCATTATACTTTTTCTCTCACAAAAGTCAAAAAATCCAAACCAAACGAGGCTAAAAAAGCTCCAACACAAAAAAGTTGGCTATATTAGCCAATGCTAAACGAAGCTAAAATTTTGGTTTGGAAAATATTAATATATGACGACTGATATTATTTTAGTAGCGAAAACATCAACTATCACCGAAAAAAATTTTGGTCGCTAGTAATGTAATATCATTGCCGACTAAATTTTTTGGTCACTAAAATAGATATTTAGTGACCAATTTTTTGGTCGCTGAAAACTAAATTAAACTTGCATGAAATTATGTTAATTATTTGGTCGGGAAAAATTAATACATCTCGAGTAAAAAAATATTTAGTAGTCTAAACCCTAAATTAATACTGACCAATAGTTTTTTTTTGTCGCCTATTGTTACATTTTTGGCGACTAAATTTTTTTTAGTTAGCAAAAATAAATATACCAAGACTAAAAAAATTGAGTTGCTTAAAACCCAAATTAAGGCCGACCAATCATTTTTTTAGTCACCTATTATTACATTTTTGGCGACTAAATTTGTTTTAGTCGCCAAATTTGATCACCAAAAGTGTAAATTGTTGTAGTGATAATAACTAATTAAAATCAAATCACCTTAATTAATTAATTGCAAAATGTTATATGTGGCGGGATCGTTACACCAAAATGACACGAGTCTCAAACTATAGGGACTGTTAGTGTAATTCGCCTCAGATGTTAATCATTATATTTTCCATATTTTTTCTCCAAATTAAAATCATTCAAGTTGTTCATGGTGCCTGTGTGTGTGAAATGAAAGAGCAATAGATTATTTGGGTCAAGAGAATGGATTTGGTGAGGAATAGATTTTCTCTTCAAAACACAAAACTACGTAGTTTTGTACATTGAAATATTTGGTGACAAAATATTTATCATTACTAATAATATTTTTAATGGAGACGAAATTTTTTGTCACTAATTGGCGGCACAATTCCCTCCAAATTTTTTAATGGCGGGAAAAATTTTTTGGAGACGAAAAAAATAAAAATAATGACGAAAAATAATTTCGTTACCTAATTTTTTATTATGTAGGTAGATTGGTGACGAAATTTTATTTTTCTCTCTAAAAATGGTATATTTGGAGACGAAATATTATTTTTTCACTAAAAGGTACGTCTTTCGTGAAAAAATTTATTTTCGTCATTAGTTTTCATCTCCAAAAACTCTTTTTGTTGTAGTGAATTGCAAGAAGCTTTTAGAACCACACTAATGTTTAGTATCGCCTACCACTGCAAACTGATGGGTAATCCGAAAGGACAATTCAGATCTTGGAAGACATGTTACGGGTACGTGTACTAGACCTAAAAGGTAACTGGATGAACACATACCTTTAGTGGAATTTGCCTATAACAACAATTACCAAGCAAGCATTGGAATGGCACCATACAAAGCACTGTATGGAAGGAAGTGTCAATCACCTCTGTGTTGGGTAGAAATCGGAGACAAAAAGTTGTTGGGCGTTGAAATCGTGCAAATAACGAGTAATAAAATCCCACCCATCTAACAGCGAATTTGCATTGCCCAAAGTTGCCAAAAAAGTTGTGCAAACACACGGAGACGGGACTTGGAATTTCAAATAAGAGATCATGTTTTCCTAAAGATCTCACCAACAAGAGGGGTTATCCGATTTGGAAAGCGAGGAAAGTTAAATCCACATTACATCGGGCCATTCAAAATACTAGAAAGAATTGGTCCTGTGATATATCATCTTGCACTACCACCTGAATTGCCTAATGTCCACAATGTATTTCACGTTTTGATACTTCGACGATATCTTCGAGATTCAAAGCATGTAGTCAATTATGAGAACTTGAAAGTTCAAGAAGATCTCTCTTATGAAGAACAACTCGTACAGATTCTCGATCATCGTGATCAAGTTCTTCGAAACAAGACTATACCTCTTGTAAAAGTCTTGTGGAGAAATTATCGTGTCGAAGAAGCAATATGGGAAACTGAAAATCAAATGCGGGCCAAATACCCACACCTACTTGAAAACCAAGGTACGAGAAGTTTGGGGACAAACTTCTATTTAGGAAGGGAGAAATGTGACACCCCAAATGATTAATTAATTTTAACACCATGTTAATATCAACAATATATATATATATATACATATATATATATATATATATATATATGTTTAATTTATATATATATATATATATAATATGTTTAATTTAATAGTTATATGTGCTAAAATGTAATTTAATTAGGGAGTCATTGTGTCATACAAAAAAGATGGTATATAATTAGTTTAAGAATTTGGCCAAAATAAAATTAAATAAAAAATTGGGCCAAATTGAAATGAAACCTAAAGCTAAGCAAATATTGGAGATAAATGTTAAGCCTTATGGATAAAGACTTGGCCTAATGGATAAGGATGTGTCTTGAGCAACGTGTCATAATCTGGCATCCTCATGGATTGATACCACGGCTTGCCTCGGTATAAATAGGGAACAAGGGCTGGGAAGTTGGAAGGAAGGAAAAATATGGGAGGTTGGGTGCGGTAAACGGGAGTAAAATTACGGATCAATATTAGTAATATTATACCTTTATGTATATCTTGAATTACCACAAATTAATTTATACAATTTATGTTTTATAAATTATATTAATATTTTAATTACATTAATTATTTTATCAATCCTATTTGCTTAAATTAAAACTCATGGATATGATTGTTTAAATTTTAGAAATTATTGGACAATGAGTATATAAACATTTATTTTTGTGAGAACCACCACTAGAGTCTCATATCTTGGGGGACTTAAATAATCATTGGACTCTAATTAGTCACTTTGTGGTTTTCTGTGTGTCATGAATCTATTGATCTCTGTTTTGATTTTCACTTCGGTGACCTATGTTCTAATTTTCCTTCTGTACCATGGTTATGACTATTCTATTTATATTCTAAAATTCATCTCTGCTATTTAAACTATTGATTAACTCCAATTGCACAATGTACAATGTTTTAACTTAAATAATTATCCATGATAATCTTGTACTCTATACTCTTGATATAATATTTCTCACTTAAGTGGTAACCTCGTGTAGTTGGGTTAACACATGACTTAATGCGGACATGTTGTATTTTTGTAATAATTGTCTGATCATCAATAAAATAAATAAAAGACCTGATGAATGTTTATTTATTTATTTATTATAAAAAAGTTATTGAGTATTTTGATTATTTATTTACTGATTTAATTTTTAATTTGTTAAAATTAAAATTAATTAATTAGTTGTGAATTTAGTCCTAAACATCAGGGGTTGGATCGTGACACACACCCTCTTTCACCTAGATCTAGTCGCGGCAGCCGACGGTGCAGATCTAAACCGAAAACACTTTTCCAAATTCAACTTTCGACAGTGTAATTTCTTTTTCCAAGGAAATGCCTCTCCAAATTCCCACTTCGGAATTAAGTGGATTTTCACCTGATGATTTTGGTTCATTTTCGCAGGGTAGTTTTAACCATTTATTTATTTATTTTTTATTTTTTTTTATCTACCTTGTTATGTTGTTGATGATGATGGTGGTGATTATAATAGATAATTATATTTGTGTTGTATCTGTGTTATCTCTATGTATATCTGTGTGGAGAATTTCAACAGATATTAAAAATTAAATTTGTTATCTTAATCGTTAAGAAATTGTTATTTAATAGACAAGAAAAATTGAACAGATAGTAGAGCAAATAAAAATTTGAACCAAAAAATATAAATAAAAATGGACATGTAGGAAAATATTTGGACAAATAATAAAATTTAGGCATATATTTGAATAGATAAGGGAACAAAATTAAAGAGGTAGTTAAAAAATTTGAACATATGAAAAATAGTTCGAACACAGAGAAAATAATTTGAACAGATAGTCAAAAAAATTAAACAGAAAAAAGTCAACAAATAAATTAAGGGATAAAAAAAAAAACCTTTTAAAACAAATAAAAGAACTTCTCACTAAATTATTTTATGAAGAATAGACTTTTCACTAATAAAAAATATTCATTGGTGATTGTGTCTCTCTTATATTTGCACTAACAAATAAAAAAACAAAAATGTTTAAGAGCACTAAAAGTAAATCTCTACTTATGTGACAGTGGGCTCTAATCATAAACGATTTGATGTATTTTTTTTTTTTTTTTGGCTCTATGTTACATCATTAAAGTCATTGTTAGAGTTTCAAATTTAAAGTTATGAATCATTACTCGTAAAAAAATGAAGAAAAATAAAATAAAGTGGTTGGCCGTCCAAGTTTTTGTTGGTGTGGGTTTAGGCGTGGGCTGCGGTGTGGCTTAACCTACCCTATACGTAATCTTTTGATTCTTGGCGCTGCCAAACACCTCCCACCCACCCCCACAAGATTTACGGGGTTGTTTAATTCAACGAATTATAGCATGTGATTAGTGGGTGAGG